GGTGGGTTTTTGGAATTAAACTCAGGTCCTCAGGCTTCACAGCAGACGCCTTTCCTCCCTGAATCATCTTGCCAGCCCAACCTTGTGTATTTTAAAAACAGCACCGGGAAAGAAGCACACTGGTGTTAAACGTGATCTCTAGTTTGAATTTTTGAAGAAGTTTTTTTTTTTTTTTTTTTTTTTTTTTGGTTTTTCGAGACAGGGTTTCTCTGTGTAGCTTTGCGCCTTTCCTGGAACTCACTTGGTAGCCCAGGCTGGCCTCGAACTCACAGAGATCCGCCTGGCTCTGCCTCCCGAGTGCTGGGATTAAAGGCGTGCGCCACCACCGCCCGGCCTTGAAGAAGTTTTGGTTATAGATTTTTCAAGTTTTTCCACAAACAACATGCGCTAATTATAAAATATGAACAAGGTAATTACAAATATTTAATGTTCCAAAAGTAGGAATGCACTTTAAGAACATAAAACAAGAATACACAGAACCCCAAAGGGGCGGGAAGGTACCAGCAACAGCCCCTGCTCCTTCCTCCTTCCTCTCCGAAAGGCCTTTTTACTCTATGAACTTGTGGGCAAGGATCCGGCCACTCATCCAGAAGTTGTGCCTGGAGGCAGCAGGACGCACAAGGGGCTGAGTGGAGTTCAAGCCAAGGTTTGGAAATCCACGGGCTTCCCCTGCCTTAATTCCAGCAGTGCTGAGCTGTTAGGTCTGCTATACCATGGAATGTCTTACGCAAGTCAACCCAGACTATTTTTGCCAGTCTCAGCCCTCTTCCATCAGGTCACGTTAGAATCACCTGAACGATCGAGCGGACCCTGCCTTCCTCCGGGAGATGCTTCCTGGCGGCCATCCTCCCTTCCTGCTCCAGTTTCTCCCACGTCTTAGTTGTGGAGTGTCAGAGGGCACAGCTCCTCTCTCTACACTTGTTCCCCTAGGGATTCCATCCAGTCTCAGCTCTCGGGGCTACCAAACACACTTCTAATTTCTAGCTCCCGCCTGGAGTTCCTCCCTAAACTCCCGGACTCGGCATCCCAGTTGATGTCCCGCATCTGATCTTTTTTTTCTAATTTTACATTTTATGTGTATATTTTGCCTGCGTGTATGTATGTACGTGCACTGTGTGCGTGCCTTGTGCCCTCAGAGAGGTGCCGGGCCGCTGGAACTGGACTCACAGACAGTTGCTAGGCACCCTGTGGGAACTGGGAATTGAACTCAGGTGCTCCGCAAGCACAGTCAGTGCTCTTCGCCACTGAGCCAACTCTCCAGTTCCCCATCTGATTTCTAATGGCTGCATAAGATAAATTATGTCCTAGGTGGAGGCCCACTCTTCCCCAACTACAAGTCATGTCTCCTCAGGTTTCTTTCTTGCTTTCAGTTCACAGCAACTTCAACCCTCCTCGGCCCCAAACCATTGCCCCAACAACTGTCCAAAACTTACTAGCGCCAACTTAAACCTGCAACTGGGTGTGCCTCCCCCTGCCCAGTCACCTGCATTTGGCAGCCGCAGGTTTTTGGGTCTCTTGCCTCCTTCCTTGTCCTCTCCAGTCCCTTTCAACTTTAGGTGTCAAAAGACCACTTCTTGAAGTAAACTTCTGATGAGCTCACTTCTGAGCTCCGATCATTCTTAACAGCTAAGCGAGAACGAAGCAACCCGGGGCATCCTGATTGTCTGTGTGGCCTGTGGAGGACTGCTCCTCATCTCTCACTGTGGACCACCCAACTCCCACCGGTAATTCAGTCCACGCCCTGCCCAACAGCCCCAGGCAGCTTCACTCTGCGTTCAGACTTCTACCTGGCAATAGTTTCTTTCAAGTCTTTGCTCAACCGTGAGGCCTTCCTTGACTTCAAGATTTAAAGCTGCAACCCTCCACCCCACCTTCAGGGTCTCCCGGGACCCCTTCCCACAGTGGCTAACACCTTCTGGCAAAGGCTAGCAGTTGTTTATTCCTTTTGCCATTTTTTCCCCCTTTGTCACACAAAGTCCCAAGCACAAAAATTTGTATTCGCTTGCCCTCAGCTCCACACCCCGGAGTAGCACCTGCTATGGAATGCTGCTACTTATCAGATGCCGACCGTCAGTGTGTTATGTGTTCTAGTTTCGTCTAGAGAAAAGTTTGGTCAGTAGCCCGAGAGCTTCGAAAGGCCCGGGTGGGTTCCGTGGTAACTCTCCCATACCCAAGTGTCTGTCACATAATTGGCAACCTGGACATAACTGATCAATGGAAACCAGACCCATTCCCCTTCACTATGGAAACAGGACCATCGGGGAGAGAACTACTCAGTGTTTAAAGGGCAACACAGCAGACACCGCTGATGCTCTGAGACCACCTGAGTAAGCTGCACCCGCCAGGAGTTCCCAGCCCACCAGTCCCTGTACTTACCTCCCCCTTGATCCTGGTAGAGAGTACACAAGGAGTTAATATTCTGGGATTAACATTCAACTAATAGAGGTAAAGGTTAGTGGGTAACTGTCCAGCATCGAGGCAAGATGGGCAGAATTAGATGATGGAACAGTGTCTTTTTGTTTGTTTGGGTTTTTTTGGTTTTTTTTGTTTTTTTTTGTTTTTTTTTTTTTTTTTCGAGACAGGATTTCTCTATGTAGCTTTGGTGCCTGTCCTGGAACTCACTCTGTAGACCAGGCTGGCCTCGAACTCACAGAGATGCACCTGGCTCTGCCTCACAAGTGCTGGGATTAAAGGCGTGCGCCACCACCGCCCAGCTGATGGAACAGTGTTTAAGAGCTGGCAAGTAGAGTATTAAACATTTGAAGGGTCATCTTAAGCATTACCATGCCACAGAGCAACCTTTCATTTGAAATTGCTATTTCTAAAGCCTTTAGCAAGTGACTGCATTCAGTAGGCACTCAGTGGATGCTTAGAAAATGAACAATGTATGCTTGGAGAACGGCACTATATAAAGGTGAAGCAAAGATATTCTTAACTGTTCTATTTACCCTCAACCCCAAGTGCACATACACCTTAAATTCTCTGGGAAATGCCTCCTCCTCCTCCCCTCCTCCTAGGAGTTCTGGGAAGTGGCACCTCACCAGTGCCCTCACTGACCTAGGATGCCCTCCAAGATCACCCGGCTGGGGCCAGAACCTACATGTCCAGCCTCCCAGAGGCTAGTCTGGGTTGAATGGGAGCCGCTGTGAACATTCTGAAGAGAATAATCCTGGAGGCCAAGAGCCGTATTTTCAGATTTGATTTCAACCAAGTGTTTCCATTTAAGAAAGCTTGCCAAAAAGATAATGGAGACTTTAAAAAAAAAAAAAAAAAAAAAGAAGTGCTCTGTAAACTGTAAAGTGCTACCAAATGGTTAGCTATCTGAGGATCACTGCCAAGGTCAACAAATTGAAGCCTGGGTGGAGAGCCAGCTCTTCAATTGGAAGGGCCATGGAAAGGCTGGACGTAGGGTCTGTGTATTTGCCAGCACCAGGACACAACTTCCTGTGTCCCGCTGTGGATCCCTCCGTCTATAGGAAGCACAATGCACTTGCACCCCAGAGAACCAGTGTTTCTTTTACATTTGTATTAGGATCGTTTTTTCAGGACTCCTTCCACCCCCACCCCCCTTAGCTTGCATTTTGGAGACACACTATGCTCCAACTACCTGACTGCTGGGCAAACGGCTCTTCCCAAAGTCCCCTACTGTCTAGGCAGGGTTTATCTTCCATACTCAGTCCCAGCTGCATTACAATTTAGACTTGAGCTCTGGCTTTCGAATCACATTCTTTTGCCTTCAGACTACCTCTTTGTCATCTAACAGCTGAATAGGCATTGTTCCTCTAACTTGGATCGTGAAAGGGGACCCCATGGAGAATAAACTTCGCATTTTCTGGCTTTCTTACCCCAGCATGCAACACTAGCAGGGCAACCGTGTTGGGTGACCTCTGGCATTAGGTTAATGATCTGGGTCTGAGCCTAGGCTAGATAATGAGCCTGAACACAATGGGGAGATGACCGTCAGAGCTTTATCATCAGGAATCTGAGAGGAGAGCCCCTTTGTCCTGCACACTCTGCCCCCTTTCCCCGAGCATCTTTTCCTCATCTGTGGGAGCTAATGGGTTTTATGTGGCAGACACTCATTCCCCACAAGTTCCCATTGAAGTGGCTGTGTACCAATTCAGTCTTGGATGTTTCTACACTTAAGGGCTTGTAAAACAGCAAAAGAAAGATGGGAGATAACTTACAGAAAGCCTTCTGTTCTAAGAGGCTCTACTTTGTCTCTACACTGTAACAGGAGTCTTGAATGCCCCAAATAAAAAGTGCAGAGCAAGGATGAAACAGGAACCCTGCACACAAGACGCTGCACAGCTCTATCAATGACTTCCTCCCACATCTCTCTCAAGTGTTCCATGTGTGTATTCTGTTATGTATTTTTTCCCAAGAGATGGCCATGGAGGAAAGATGCCAAAAAAAAAAAAATATAAACTAGTTCTTTTGAGGGACTATCATCAATAAAGTATTTCATGTGTCCAAAGCAAAACCTGTTGGGAGAAAATCAGGACATGGTCTTTGTTGCTTACCAGTTTTCAAAGTACCAACCAAAGGGGCTGAGCCAGAAAGGAGAAACTCTGTGACTCAAAAAACACCCTGCCTAGTTAATCTTTGCACACAATCCAAGGTTCAAACGAATCATGCTTTAAGGAGAAAAGAATTACTAAGCGGTCCTGGGGGCAATTTTCGCTCACCTTGTGTTGGGGTAGGATCCCTGCCTCCAACCCTTGGATCAGATGTTTTTGTGTTTCTGCTTTTCAAAACAGGGTTTCTCTGTATAGCTCTGGCCGTCTTGGGATTCGCTCTGTGGACCAGGCTGGCCTCATGGATGAGATTTTTTAACCCTTCACTTCTTTCAACTCCATCACCCATTAGTAAGGCTACATGTTGGAGACAGCAGGGGTTGGGGTTGGGGTTGGGGGAGGGAGTTCAGAGGAAGCCCAGGCTCTTGCTTGCTTGAAAATTAAAACACAGATGGCAGGAAAGAGGCAAGTTTCAGGAGCATATAAAGGAAAGCAAACTTCTTTATTGTACACAGTACAGAATATAACGCAGCTCGGCAGGATGTACACAGCCCTGCGCAGGGGGAAGGGGTATCTCAAGTCAACTGGCAGGCTAAAGCCTTTCTGCACTGTAGACTTTCCACACTCTGGAAAAGAAGCAAATGAAGGAAAGAACCCCCACACCCTGAAGGAAACAGCTATCTGGGGGGTACATGAGTCGGATGGGAATGCAAAGTGACGCTGCTGCTGTCCTATGTCCCTTACGGTGCACCGTGCAGTCACACAGCAGGGCAGGGGCAGCTCAGGTCACAGAGGGTTCTCTTCATACCCAGTAAAACAGCATAAATTCATTAAAAAACAAAACAACAAAAAACCCCAAACCAGTATAAGTAAAGGGAGGAAGAGAAAACAAACAGACAAACAGAAAACCAATCTATACAGCATTTACAACAAATAAATCTCTAGCCAGCTGGGTAAAATTCGCATCTATGTATAGACTATGTGTAGATTAGAAAGCTATAAATATGCTTTAGAAAAAGTCCTTTCATTAGAGTACAATGCTCATTAAGGCCCAAGCTTCAGGCTTGACACCTCAGGGCTGACTAGCTTTCAGGAGGAAAACCTCAGTTCCCCAGTTACAAAATGCACCCCTCATTCCTGTGCACCTCTTCACGAGTGTGCTGTGGGTCATGAGAGGGCTGTGGAGTGCCTCACTGTAGGACAGCAAAGCCCATCCCACACTCAGTCAGCTCTGTGTCCTGAACACGAGGAACACTCTTCATGTGTGTGGAGTGTCAAGGACAGCACAGACTCCCGTCAACAGGTTGGGCGTCAGCAAGATGCTGGCACTTCCTGGTGACTTTCATCCACTCCAAATCCAGTTTTCATACAGCTTCAGTTTGGTTGTTTAAAACATTCCCAATATAATACAGCAATCAGAATAAAAACTGAAAAAAGAAGAGAGTAGCAGGAAGCCAGAATGCTAGCTAGCACTGTTTTACCCGTCAGTGACAGGCAAATTTCAGACCCTAAGGAACCATTATGCAGGGTTGAAGGTCCAAAACTGAAAGAAAAAGGAAAACAGAAACTGATGTCTATTAGGGTCCCACCAGGTGACCAGGTGTTACATGGACATGACATGTAGTATGTACATCTGCTTCCCAGAGAGGGCAAGTTAGTGAGCAAGGAGAGCTATACACATGGAATCTAAGCTGTGTCCAGGCTGCCCTGCACACTTCAAAAATGTACAAATCAGGTGTAAGTGTTTCAACAGGTTGTCTGGTGCCCAAGGCACCGAGCAGACTTCTACATGGCGAAGGGAAGCCCCAGCAAAGCCCCTCTCAAGCTGCAGCGTCTTCGTAAGTGGACACGGCCCTGACTACGTAAGGGATATAATAGTGCAGTTACCAAAAAGTTTTTGTTTTTGTTTTTTTTGCTTTAAATACCAAAACTACAAAAATCAGTTTATATAAACTGTTTTTCCCCCCAAAACAACCACCAAAACAAAATGATCCCCCCAAATCAAAGCAAAACAAAATACTGTCAAGTGTTTATCACCTTTCTTCTAAAACGAAAGCCATCTACACTCAGCCATGTGACTGGGAGGAGAGGGGCTTGATCTACATGTTGACCACTCTGGCTGGAAGGCTCGAGAGGAGCTGTGGTCAGAGAACCATGGAGTGGGTAACAGCTGTCCTGGCCGCCCCGGTTCTGGACTAAGGGGAAATATTCCAAACTGAGATGCAGGAGTTTTGCAAAATTCAAGCCTTAGTAATCTGAGTCTCCCCAACCCAGCCTTTCCACTTTCCTATGGGTGTGCGGTTTCTTTCCAAAGAATTGTGCAAGTCAAAGCCCTTCTATGTAAAGGCATTTAGTAGTACATGCTCAATGCAGATTGTCGTACACTCGGTCCCCTTTCATGGGCGCTAACCTGAACAAGGTATTGCTCTGCACATATTGTCCATGATGGCAAGGAGGCTCCACTTCCATCTCTTCCCAGGACTCTCATCAGAATCACCAGCCACTTGGTGGTTTTTCTGTCTCTCCCTGTTCCCACTCCCTAGCCAAGGTATTTGTTTTTAAGGGTGTCAATCCAGAGATGGCTTGGGTTCTCCAGATAATACTCAAAGGGCAAGCTTTAGGAACAGCCAAGAACACAAACAAAACCACTGCCCTCATTTGCCTGAATGGGGACTGCTAGCTCTAGGGTTTGGCCACTCAGCCATTCAGAAACTTAGTAAGCGAAGCCTTCAGCATAGGGGAGGCTGCTGCAGCGATCCATGTCCAGGAGGTAAGCAGGGTTGTCTTCAAAATGAGTCAGTGGCAGGGTATCCTCCTCGTTGAGAGGGCATTCAGACTCTGCCTTCAGGAACGGACGCTGATTGTCTGGGAAGGCCATGGAGAAGAGCGCATCCGGGTCACAGACAAATTTGTAGACATACCGTTCCCCAGCCACCTGCATGAGAACACGCAACACAAGGCTCAGCTGGAACAAGGTATGGGGCTGGAGCAAAGAATTTTTAAGGTGCCAATCTCTCAAGGAGTCAAGAACCAAAGGGCTAATTAGTAGCTGATTATTCCAATCGCATCTCAGGGACCTGTTACCTGCCAAGGGTTTTGTTGACACCACAGCTCAGTATTTTAAAAGACAGCATTTGAATTTTAAACACACGTCAGTTTGGCTTTTAGCAGCAAGCTGCACTCGGCCTTACACTGACAGCTCAGACAGCCTGGCTGCACTAGGGTTGATTCAGGGACTTAAAGACACAATGCAGATGCCAGACCACATTTCCAGTGACCTCCCAAGTGTACAGTTTTCCCAGGATTATGCAGGCTCTGTCGGCTCTTCAACAACAGCGAGAGAAGGGACAGATTCCTGACAGGCAAATCTAACTGTCAGGCATTGGAAGGAGAGCAGCTACAATTCCCGATTACGTAAGCAAGCGCGTTAAGACTAAAATACCCCAATGGCTGGGCTAGCCCAGAACTGTCATTCTGCTGAGATCTCACATCCCAGTGTTAACTGAAGCCTGGCCCCTGCTCCCCAGGTCTTGTGTTTAACTCTGCTGCAGTCACTAGGAATCAGGGAACCAGGCTTATCAGCACAGCGAACACAAGTACCAAAGCAAGCTTCAGGGGGCAGCAGATGTACATAACTGATCATCCCGACGACTCATTTGTTCATTCATCCATCGATTTATTGATTTTTTTTTTTTTGGTTTTTCGAGACAGGGTTTCTCTGTGTAGCTTTGCGCCTTTCCTGGAACTCGCTTTGGAGACCAGGCTGGCCTCGAACTCACGGAAATCCGCCTGCCTCTGCCTCTGCCTCCTGAGTGCTGGGATTAAAGGCGTGCGCCACCACCGCCCGGCTCGATTTATTGATTTTAAGATGCGAGTCTTTAATATGCGGCCAAAGCTGAACTGGAACTCACTATGTAGCTCAGGTTAGCCTTTAATTTAAAATCCTCCTGCCTTAGCCTCTTAAGGGACCACATGCCTGTGCTACCAATGCAGGCTCTGTGTACGTTCAGTTCTTGTGTGGGTGGCATGGCAACAACCCAAAAGCAGCCTGGCTCCCAGCACGGGTGCCATCACTAAGTCTTACCTCTGCTCCCCTTACCAACTGAGGGCATGAACCACCTGTGACACCGACAGGCTGTTTTAACCTTTTAAACCATCTCATCCAGCCACAGTTATAATAAAGCAATGGGGAGCACATTATTATGACTTAAGATACTTTCAGATGTATTACCCTGAAATTATGGCAGGGTGCTGCATTTTCCCTGTAAGGAATATGAGAAGTTACCTGACATAACACGCTACCAACTAAGAACCCACCAGAGCCACACTTCCGGGTTGTCCCACACTCGGAAATCAAGAGTCAGTAAGAGGGACAACTCTTCCTTCTTAGCTCTAAGCCACTGTGCCTCGGATTGCAGTCCTTCATATTTGATCTGGAGCTCTGGGAATAAGGTTGGAACGATGACATTTTGGATGAAAAATGCACCCATAATGTCAGGCATCTGAACAACCTGGTCCCTAATTAGTGGCACTATTTGGGGAGGCTTAGGAGGTGTGGCCTTGTGGGGGAAGTACATAACTGGGGAAGGGCTTTGAGGTTTCAAAGCCTTATGCCAGTTCTGGCTTGTGGTTCAAGATGTGAGCTCTCAGCTCATTCCTGCTGCAATGTCTGCCACTTCCTGCCATCATGGACTCTTAAACCCCTGGAACCAGAAGCCCAAATAAATCCTTCTACATGATGTTTGGTCATGGTGGGTTTTTTTTGTTTTTGTTTTTTATTCTTCCTCTTCCCAAGAAAGGGTCTCTGTGTATAGCCCTGGCTGTCCTGGAACTGGCTCTGTAGACCAGGCTGGCCTTGAACTCACTGATATCCACCGGCCTTTGTCTCCCGAGTGCTGGGATTTGTGTCACTGCTGCTCAGCTTGGTCACGGTGTCTTAATCAGAGCAACAGAAAAGTAACTAATAAGATGATGCTTTCTCCTGTGTTTGAGATTTGGTCTGATAGTAAGTGGGTTGGGGGAGATGGGAAGTAAATGCTAATGAGTATGGGTTTTTTTTGGGGGGGAGGGGAGGATAAAAATCCCACAAAATTGACTGCAGGACAGCTGCAAAGATTAACTGGTAAAGTCTATGCAAATGCTCTAAATTTTTTTTTTTTTAAATTAAACTTCAAAATGTTAAATGCTTCTTATTCTAAGCATTTTGGGGACGGATATGCAACCTGTGTCATAAAGGCTGCCCCAGTGTGTAGATGCTAGACTCATCTGGGAGATGAACAGCATATACGAGGCATTGAGGAAAGGTGCATCAGTCCATCTTCCACTTACTAATGGGATTTTAAGGCTGCGGTCCCTTAACCCCTGTCCTAACATGGACTCAATACTGGCTTCTTCAAAATAAGCTTCATCTTCTACTCTGCAAAGAAAAGACTCTTACTGAATGACAGCAGCTGTATGACAAATTTTGGGCTCTCTGAAGTTCCAGGCTGTATAGGTTTAAGAGAGAAGTAGATTTTCTTATTCGTCTAACTCCTTGAGATGGTTTCTCACTGTGAGGACAGTGAAGATCGCTGTGCCCCACATGTTTCGACAACTAAGATGTCACGCTCTACAGATTAGAGATCTGAAGTTGATTTTCATGCCTTCCTTTACATACACAACAATAGCTGGCCCAAGCGTTTTGAGAGTTTTGTATCTGGAAGCAGCTTAAGGACAGAGGAAGCCAATTTCCTCCTGTGTCTTTCGCATGTAACTTCTGTCAGGCATGGACTCAACAACATTAAAAGCACTTTAAAAAAAGAAGTGTTGTTCATTTTTTTAAGTGTGTACACTTGTGGGCCTGAGTGTGTGTATGGGTATCACCTTTGTACGGTACCCATGGAGGCCAGAAGATGGCGCAAGATCACTCAGAATTGGAGTTACAGAGGGCTGTGAGCTGTCTGATATGGGTGCTGAAATCTGAAGTCAGGTCCTGCGAGAGCAGCAAGAACTCTCAAATGCTGAACCATCTCTCCAGTTCTAAAAGGACTTTAAATATCCTACTTGTCTCCTTTTTAAGTTTTTGGAGACAGGATATTATGGAGCCCAGGCTGGCCTAGAATTTGATATGTAGGTGAACTGGCCTTGAATTTTTGATCCTCCTGCCTCTACCTCCCAAGGGCCGACACTATAGGTATGTGTCACTCTGTCTTATAATTCCTGTCTTTTTTTGTGTTTTCCAGGTTCTTTTCTACCAGACTCACTTATGAGGCTCATGTTTTCTTCTAGTTACTGTAAATGGCCTGATTACAGAGGTGAGGGGCATTCCTTGAACACAGCAGAGGGATTTAAGCACCTGAAGTTGCTCACCTTCTGCATGATGCCCTTTTCATAGTAATAGCGTAGAGAGCGGCTCAACTTGTCATAGTTCATGGCTGGCCGATTCTTCTGGATGCCCCAACGCCGAGCAACCTGAAAGGACAAGACGGCAAAGATGCAAACACCGAGTTAATGTTCTGTAATGATTGTTTTCTCTAACTTGGAAAGTAAAGCGTTTAATTCTCTCAAGATCAAATATTAAGTAAAGGTGATGATTCGGCCACAGTTCTTAGAGGGTGAGACCTGGGGGTAGAAGACTCCTAACACTGTAAGACTGTAGAGGACTTGGTTAGCATCCCAGAGGATACAGGCCCTCTACTATTTCTCCATTTATGAATTATTGACCAATACTCATGGACCATTAACATATTGCCATTAAGTGCTATGGTTTCTGTAGCAGTCAATAAGGAATAATTAGAACGGTCATTCCTGAAACATTAGGAACATGCTAGTGAGTTGCTAATGGGCCTGCAGAGCAGAAGTTCAATTCTAATAAGATTGGAGAGGGGCTGGGAGATGTTTACTTATTGCAGCTCACGGACTAAGGGGGATTCAGATCATTTCAGCCTGCTGCCAACCAGCCCTTCACTCCCAGCAGACCCACAGAATGGACAGTAAAGCGCCCAGCACCATTATCCATTTAATGAAAAATTAACGGGGCTTCTCACATGGTTCTAAAGGGCATTACAGCAACCCAGTCGACTTGAGGTGCAGGGATGGGGAGATGTAATTGGAGCTTTGGGTAAAGGCGTTATGGGGGGGGGGGGGGTAGTTTCCTCCGAGACTCTACTCAGCTATCAGGGCAGCAAGTTCTGTTCTCTAGCATCTAAACTTTCACGATCCCACTTGGGAGGGTGGCTGTCAAGGCAGATCAACTGTGGAAACGTGAGATGTCTGATGTCTTCATTTTAGTCACCTTTAGAAACTTCAAAAAAGACCACCTAACTACATCCTTTTGAAGTTTTTCTCAATTATGTGTTATTTGGAGACAGGATCTCTCTATGTAGCACAGGCTGGCATCAAACTCTTCATCTTTCCGCCTCTGCTTCCCAGTTGCTTGGATCACAGGCATGCAACACCAACCCCAACTTGCTCTTTTGAGACAGACACACAGACACACTCCAGCTGAGAAAGCTAAAGGTTAAACGTGGAGGAAGGTGAAGAGAAAACAGCAGATCACATCAGCGATATGAAGGGTAGGGGTGTGGCAGAAACTCCTCCTGAATTCAGGATTCTAAAATGACCTCTAGCAAACACCAGAGACAATCTGGGAAGGAAGAAGTCATCGGTCCTAATTATATCAGAGCAATCCACCAGCTACGTTTCTACTTTGCCCTGCAAGAAATCCTGTGCAAGCTCAATTTCCGCTTATTATTTAGTGTCTCTCAGGCAACCACGGATCTTGGGACTCTTTTTTTTTTTATCAATTAAAAAAAAAAAAAAAAAAAAAAAAGGCCCAAAGGCTAGAAGTCCTTTTTACTTGAGACAGGGTCATCTTATGTAGCTGTGGCTAGCTTAGAACTTAGGCTGGTCTCAATTCACAGAGATCCACTTGTCTTGGCCTCTGAAGTGCTGGGATTCAAGTTGTGCACTAACCCATCTGGCAAAGAGAAATACTTCCAATCAATGGAAATACTGGTAAAAAGAGAAATTTGCTAAGTTAATCTCAGTCCTGCAAGGTTCGACAGCAACCCACACTCGGAAGCTACTTGCCAACCTGTCTGCCAGAAGTGATGGGGAATGTCAGGGAGGCTGGCTCCGTCTCTTTCCTCCCCTGGGTGGTGGAAAACAATCTACCTGGTCTTCAGCCTCAGTGCTGTCCACTCTTTGCCGCCAGCACATGCCATAGCTTACTGGAGAGCGGTTTTGTGTATGTGCAGACTGCAAAGCTGCTCCGGCAGCGATACTTACTGACTCATCCTCCAGGCTGGTGCCCTATGATTCAGTGGCCTCGCCACACTCCTCCCACCACGGCAATGCGTGATGCAGCTGGAGACTCGGGCAGCCCCTATCTGGTGTTAGGAAGAGCAGGCGAGGGCATGTTGCCAGCTCGCTCCTTCTTTCTGCTCAAGTACTAAGTTATAGAATACACACTTTGGGAGCTGAGCCTGGGGGGGGGGGGGGGGGACGATGATGACGACGACGACCGCACTCATTCCTCTTCAAAGAACAAGCAGTCACAGAACAAGGCGTGGCTCTCTCTAGCAGCCCAGCCTTTAAAACCTCCCATGGCATCATTTATCTGCCACATGTTCAACAAACAACCCTACTCACCCCAACAAATATTCATATTAATGCAGATTCACAGTTAAAATGGCTCCAGATTAAAGCCGAGTCAGTCATAATTGAGAGGGTGCTAAGCTGGATGACTATCAAAAGACATTTGATTAGGGGCCTGCCAAAACGCAGTTCTAAAACCACAATTTCCATGCACAGTGTAATGGATATTATAGATAATTACCCAGAGTGCACTACTCAGCCACACAGCTGCCTACAATTACATCCCCAACAGCTTCCTCCTCTGCTTCACCCTTTAAGCTCCCCCGTGACAAGTTCTTACAGCTTTCCCCGGGAGCTGGTGGTATCTTCCTGACATTAATAAGGACAGGGCTGTCACAGTTACACAAAGAACAGAAGAGGAAAAAGTCAAGCACCGTGCAGGCCAAGGCTCAGTGCTCCCAAGATTTCAAAGGGCCCGGCATTAAGGAGCACGAGGATGCCAGAGACCTCAAGGTAGGGAGTAAAACGCAGTTCCTAAAGAAACAATGTTGGAAGTGGTGGGGTGGCTCAGTGGGCAGAGGCATCTGCTTCCCAGGATTGGATCTTCTGGACCCACATGGTGGAGAGAATTCACTCCTGTGGGTTGTCTTCTGATGCAGCACATGCAAACTTGGATGTGTTGCCCCATAATAAAAACACTATAATAATAATAATAATAATTATTATTATTATTATTATTATTTTTAAATGCTGCTCAATCAACAGAGAGGCTCAGGGCTGCCATGGCTTCCCATGTGTGACTTGGAGCCGCTTGGCATTTATGAGCATTCTGGGTTAATATTAGTTCCTTCATTAAGTAGGAAAGCAGGGGCCCTCTGCCATCTGTTCATCATTTTCCTTACCGCTGGTAGGAGAGCGGCAGATTCAATAACAGCCTTACAGAGGCTCATAACCAGGTTTACCTGCAGCTGGACAGCCTGTGCTCAGGCCCGAGGCGGTGGCAATAAAGCCATAAAAGCTCCTGTTTGTGGACTGAGATGAATCAATAGGGCTGCCCACAAGACAAGCTTACCTTCATTTCCAAAAGCCTGGGTGAGTCAAGGTACCATCCCCTCACCAAGCCTCACATAAGCCAGGCCGCATCATTAGGAAAGCAGTGACATCCCCGCCCCCAGCACAAGTGGAGCTCAGCCTCCATCTCTACACAACCGAGCCCAATCGGAGGCTGTGTGTAGTGCTCCATGTTGACAGCCTTTCTGTGAACAGGAGACAGGGAATGCCACAGACATATCTGTGTGTGTACACGAGTGTGTATGTGGCCTTATGTTCACATGGAGGCCAGAGATCCAAGTTGCGTGTCTTTCTCAACTGCTCTCTACTTTCTGAGATCAAGCCTCTCTAAACCTGGAACTCATCCATTTGATTAGGCCGGACAGCCCATGAGCTCCAGGGATCTGCCCGTCATTACTCGCGGAATGCTGGGATTACAGATGTGTGGCGCCGAGCCGGGCTTTCACGTGGGTGCTGGGGATACACAACGGAATCTCCAATCTTACGTGGCAGGCGCTTTGCTGACTGAACCCTTCTCCCTAGCCCCAGGAACGTACGTTCTATACTACTTTAAATGAAGCCTGCCTTATTTTACCAATGCAGGACACCCCAAGATTTTATTCCATTCCCCCCCCCTCCTTATCCTATATCTCAACTTTCAGACCATGTCCTTCTTCCAAACATAGTGTCAGGTTGCTGCCTCCTGCTGCCAGCTCTGCAGTCCTTAATGGAATGCTTCCCCAGAGGGCTGTTCCCATTTCTACTGTACCAACTCAGGGGCAGCGTTTGCCTAACCACGCACTATTAAAGAAGCGCATGTCAGCCAGTGAGTGTGTGTATGTGTTTGTATCTTCTCCAACTACAATCTTTTAAACCCTAAACCAAAGAGAAATGAAGATGACTCCCTTTGGCATGAGATACACTAATAACCTGGTTTAATTCTCTGTGCTGTATGTTCAGGTCCTATGGGTGCATCTTCCTCACTGAAGACAAGGCGGTGGGGTTCTGTCTTAGGTTTTTCTGTTGATAGCTCTGGGCAAAAAGATGGTAACAATGTATCCTTTTCTGAGGGGGCCTCAATGGAGAAAATGCCTCCCTAAAATTGGGCGGATAGGCAAGCCTGAGGAGCAGCAGTCATGACCCCTTTGGGAGGGGTGTTGAATGACCCTCTCACAGCGGTCGCCTTAAACAATCTGCATATCTGATCTGATCGGTAGACCATCTATCAGATAATTACATTACGATTCATAACATTAGCAAAATTACAGTTATGAAGTAGCAATGAAAATAATTTTATGGTTAGGGGTCACCACAACACCAAGAACTGCATTAAGGGGTTGCAGCATTAGGGAGGTTGAGAAACACTGCTGTAGAGTATTTTCCTAATCAGTGATTGGCATAACAGGGCTCCGGTCCATTGTGGGTGGGGAAACCCCTGGGCTGAAGGTCCTGGGTCCTATAGGAAAGCAGGCTGAGCAAGCCAGTAAGCAGCACTCCCCCATGGCCTGCGTGTCAGCTCCTGCCTCCAGGTTCCTGCCTCGACTTCCTGGATGATGAATAATGATGTGGAAGCAAAAGCCAAACAAACAAACAACAACATCCCATAAAACCAAAACCAAACTAAACAACAAAAAAATCTCCTCCCCAAGTTGCTTTGGTCACGGTGTTTTAATCATAGCAACACAGCAACAGTAATCCTAACTACTATGATAACCAGGATCCTACACAACATACTTAAAAAGAAAAAGAAAAGCATTTACGTTCTGGGGCTTAGATGGAGAGTTGGCTCAGCAGTTAAGATCCAGGTTTGATTCCCAGCGCCCACATAGTAGCTAACAACCACTAGTAACTCCAGTTCCAGCGGATCCAACACCCTCTCCTGGCTTCCATAGGCACTGCACGCGCGCGCGCGCGCACACACACACACACACACACACACACACACACACACACACGTCCACCTACATACACCCAAGCATGCACACGTACATTTTTATAAAACAAACACATACTTTAAAAAAATTTAAGCTTCAAGACTTAGCTTTGGTGGTTTTATTTTTCCAAGTTAGAGCCAAGTGAATCATGTGGTGGGGTCGGTGAGATGGCTCACCAGGTTGCAGGTTAAGGCCCTTGCGGCCACTACTAATCCTGGCAACTTGAGTTTGATCCCTGAGACCCACATATAGGAGTGAACCGATCCCCATAAGTCCTCTGACTTATACCAATTTAGTGCATGTGCATGCAGACACATTCAATAAATGAAGGTTATAAAGGAAAAAAAGTATGGAGTAGGGTAAATGCAGTCCGTTCATACAGCCTTGGCCACGGGCTGTAACAGACCAGGGTCGAATCTATGTTACAGACAACATTAACAGGAAGCACAGCCTGTATCAGGGTTAACTCTTCATGGCTTCACCCATTACTTTTGTTTATTCTCCCTAGGAGTGTTACAACACTTTCAATGTTCTACAACGGATAACTCTGCCTGTTCGTTTGGTAATGTGCAGAAAACCGTCCTACGGACAGGAAGAACCACTGTCGAGCCCGCCAGCTGGAAAGAAAATGAGAAAGCAGAGCACACTTCAAACACAAAAGCCTCACTCATCACATCCAGCACCGACTGTGGTGGTTTAAAGAACAAACGTGCCCCACAGGCTCCGGCATTTGAACACTAGTGGGTTGGCGGAGCCGCTTGGGGAAGTCTAGGGGGCGTGGCCTCGCTGGAGGACGTGCGTCCTTGGAGGTGGGCTCTGAGGTTTCAAAGCCCCTGAGCCATTTCCGGCGCTCCTGCTCTCTTTGCTTCTATGCTAGTACTTGAGCTGGGAGCTCTCGGCTCCCTTCTCCTGCCATCGTGCCCAGCAGCTTGTTGCCTGGCTCCCCACCGTGCCAGAGTCCAACCCTCTGGAACTGGAAGTCTAAACAAACTCTTGGGTAAGTTTCCTCGGTCACGCTGTTTCGTCACAGCAGCATTAAAGTAAGACACCCAGACTCACCTCCTCGGGTTCTATCAGCTTAAATTCCATGCCTCGGCCAGTCCAGGCAATGAAGTGGGCATTGGCTGGGTCATCAAGAAGGGTGACGAGGAACTGCCACAGCTGAAGAGAGCCTCGTCTCTGATACGGGGGCCCCTCTCGATAGAGGGTGGGCTCCTGCTTGACCTTGCCTGTGTGGGACAGGGGTACAGAGGTTATAACTGAGGTTGGAGTTTCTCAGGGATTTGCACAAAAAGCAGTGGTTGCTGATGACTTAGTCACTGAACGAACGGGCTGGGACTGACATCATCAACCCTCTCACTCAGCTTCAAGTCTTGGACGGGCATCTTACCTTCCAGTCTTTCAGGCACCACGCAGGTGTCATCGAAGTATAGCCTGGGATCCTTTTCATATGGAAATCCTGAAAGAGTTGAAAGAGAAAGACCACACTGCTTAACAGTCTGCTTTATACTAAGAACTATGGAGTTAAGGACTAAAGAGGCATTCTTTAACATAAATTAAAAACTATTATTGTGTGTGCATGATGTGTGTGGGGCACACACATGTGGAGGTCAGAGGTGGCTCTCTGGGGTCCGTTCCCTTCTCCTACCTTTCACAAGGGCTCTGGGGACAGAACTCAGGTTGTCAGGGTTTCTCGGCAAGCACTTTTGCCAGTGGAACCCTCTCAGTGCCCCATAACCTTTCATTTCTGGTTCCTAAGTCCTACTGTCGCACCCATGCCAGACTGAATCTTCAGAGACTTCCAAAGGACTCAAGCACTCAAGTTCTGATGTCACTACCTTGGCTGAATCAATCCATGCTATCAGGGCTCGGGCTGCAGGAAGCGCTGCTGAGTCACGAAGGTTCTCTCAAATCTTAGGAAGTTTGCAGGGCCAGTATGGCTATGACTAACCTGTTTATTCTGGTCGGCCTAAGTAGCTAGCTTTGTTTTATGTGTGTATAGAGTTGTCATTTTCCTTTCAGCTAACAGTAACTCAACCTTCCCAGCAGACTTGTCCAAGCTATCCACACACCTCATTCATGTGCCGCAGCCAAGTATATGTAGAAGGAAAAGATGCAGGCCCACAGGAGACTGGGAAGAGCGGCACACTCAAACAAGTTGGAGCACTGTTCCCAGACACAGCGGAAGGAATTAAAGCCTTCCTCGTGGTAGACTTGTCATAGAAGGGGAGTCAAGAAATGGGAACTGAATGCTCTGAAGAGATACATCAAGGATGAAATAGTTGAGGCACAAAGCAGAGAGGACATGGGAAAAGACGGCCAGATGTTCTCCATAAGCTGGCCTGTGTGCAGTCCCGACCTCAACAAGATCTGTGGTTCAAACCCAAAGCAGCTAACAACTCCCTGTTGGGGACCCCGTGCTCTGTACCTCACAGGTATTACACCTGGTATACAGGCCTTCATCCCCGGCTCTTCTCTGACTTTGTTCCTGGTTGATTTACCTAGCTGAAGACTACTAGTCTATGTGTGCTAGATCCGCAGAGGGGACAGACAGGAGACTCTCTGCAACATGAAAACCCCACAAGTCAAGGAGCCCGGATGTGATCCCTCCACTGATATCCCTGGCTTCTTTGTAATCAGTTCAGGTGAGGGACTGTCTTGGCAGGCCTGGCACCATCTTAAGATGCCAGGGCCTAGAAAAAAAAAAACTCAGTGCAACATGCAACAGATTATTTTGATGTTTAGGTCATTCATCTTTCTGTTTTTAGCCTCAGGCATGATTTTTCTGTTATTTAAATCAACAACACCATATATGGAGAAACAGCTCAGTGGTTTAGAGCACTGACTACTATACTAGAGGACCCAGGTTTGATTCCCAGCACCCACATGGCGGCTCACAACTGTCTGTAACTCTAGTTCCAGAGGAATCCACTGACATCTTCTGGCTTCTCCTTGCACTGAATGCACATGGTGCATAGCCATCCATGCAGGCAAAACACCCATATACACAATTTAAGAAATAAGTATATTTTATTGGCTTTTTTTTTCCTGATTGATTCAATTAAAACTTTAGGCCACATATTTTGCTGATGTGGGTAGGAGGTAAGAACGCAGCCATGGACTTTGTTCTTATGTGTTCACATCTCAACCTGAAGCAGGAAGCAGACAGTAAAAGAACAGGCAATAAATGATTAGTATAGCATAGGAATTAAAGAGTGCAAACTCCAGAGTGAGAGACAGGTTGACCCCAATTAGCTGTGTGACTCTGAATACATGAATTCCACTGTGTTCAAGTTTCCTCACTGGTACTGTTATGAGGATTGAACAGTTAATGTACTGTCTGTTCTGCCAGCCACTGCTCTACCTTTACAACAGAGTAAGTACTGTGACAAGCACTATTAAGAAACTATGATGCTGTGTCAGGGGTGGTGGCACACGCCTTCCACCCCAGCACTCTGAAGGCAGAGGCAGGTGGATCCCTTTGAGTTCCAGGCAGCCTGGTCTACAGAGGGGTAATAGTTGAGACTCTGCCTCAAAAACAAACAAGCACACAAACAACAACCAACCCTGAATGATAGTATGAGAACTGTCATCTCGACACCCCCTGCATGGAGTCCGATATTCTCAAGGATAAGGGTCCTGTCCTATGCATCTTAGTGTTCTCACAGCGCCTTGCCTATAGTTAAGTGTTCCATCAATATTTGAAGTACAAGATCTCCTGACAATTTAAGCAAAGAATGTTGACATTCTTTCCTTTAAGGCATGGTCTCACGTAGCATACGTCTACCCTGAACTTGCCATATAGCTGAGGATGACCTCAGACTCCCGATCTTCCTGGAACCCTCACCTCCCAAGTGCATGACACCTGGCAAACTGACTTTTATGACAAGCTGGTGTACTCCACATTATCAGCAAGATGTAATTCCTCATGCGTCACGCTTTTTCCCCTTTAGCTGCCAGGAGGTGATATATTTCCCACCTTCCCTGTTTTAATATTCCAGTGCTGTTTAAATGGTCTCGTTATAAAGTCATTGTAAGCAAACCGCTTGAAAGTTTATATATCTGTCAAACGTGCCGTGGTGTTATTTTCAGCGCTGTCCTCTAAGGGAAAGATCACTCATCCACAATCCCGCAAGAATAAATTCTTGTTTTGGTTTTCAAAAGCTTATAAGGAACATCATTTGGGAACATTTTGTGGTTTCTAGTTATTGCCACACGGGGCCCTCTAAGACACCTGGAAGATGTTTCTAGTTTGAGTGATAAAGCCAGTTGAGTTTGCATCTCCAGCTACTTCAGTTGTGGCCAGCACCACTCAAATAAAGGCACCGGAAGGAAGGAAGAACCTGCTTGACAGGCACTGGAAATGAAAGGCTCAAAATATCACACGAGGATTCCAGGTGAGTACCCGAGGCAGGACAGCTATCTTAGCAATCAGAGATGCCAATCAGAAATGCTTGTTTTGATAACTGTTTCCTAGGCATCTGTGGTCAAGACTGTAAAGGAAGAATAGAAAAAAACTGGGCCAAGATAATTTAGAGCAGTTTAACACACTGGCTTTTTTTGAAATTTACTTTTTCCAATGTGTGCGGTCAATTGGGCAAAGGAATAGGTTGGAGGGCGGAGGGCGGAGGGCGGAGGTGGCTTCACAAGATGGTTCTGTGTGTAGTAAGCAACCCAAAATCTTACTAAAAATATTTCCCTTAAGAGCATGCTCTTTGCTAAATGTTGTAATTATACAAAATGTTTGCCTCCCTCTCTTCCCTGTTCCTTCCAACATGTGCTTGCTGCAGACATCAACTGCCTCTGTAGAAACAGTGAGGAGTCTGGAAGCAGGCCTGCACAGCTGTGTCTACACAGCCAGCGGTCCAGTAGACAGCCGGCCTGCTCAAGTCTGGACATTCACTGAGATTATCACAGGGTGCACAGCAGGGGAGCAGTACTGGTCTTGCCTAGCCAGGGGGGAGCCATCTACCCAAGAAACCACTCTAGCCAGCCAACTAGTCACTTGCTTTTGTTTGTTTTTCCAGACAGGGTTTCTCTGTGTAGCCCTAGCTGTCCTGGAACATACTGTGTAGACCAGGCTGGCCTTGAACTCACAGAGCTCCGCCTGCCTCTGCCTCCTGAGTACTGGGGTTAAAGGTGTACGCCACCACCACCCAGCTGCAACTATAGTCACTTGTAAGAAACAACCAATGCTTCCTGAGAATCTGAAATGCTACGGATGGGGGTTCACAGCCTCAGGTACGTGAGGCTGGAATTTGAGGGTCTCACCACTTAGGGTAAAGCTTCATTCACATCAAAACTTCAATTTAAACCCCCCCCCCAGGTGACCCTAAGGTACAGCTGAGGTTGAGTGTGGTTTTCAAACTTGAAAAGAGAGACTTCTGGGCTCCAGGTTGGGACTTTTGATTCAGTAGCTGTACCGGGTGGTTTTGTGTGTCAACTGGACGCAAGCTAGTCATCAGAGAGGAAGGAGTCTCAGTTGAGGAAATGCCTCCGTAAGATCCCACTGTAAGGCATCTTCTCATTTAGTGATCAATGGAAGAGGGCCCAACCCATGGTGCGTGGTACCATTACTGGCCTGGTGGTCCTGGGTTCTATAAGAAAGCAGGCTGAGCAAGCCACAGGAAGCAAGCCAGTAAGCAGCACTCCTCCATGGCCTCTGCATCAGCTCTTGCCTCCAGGATCTTGCCCTGTTGGAATTCCTGTCTTGAATTCCTCCAGTGATGAAGAGTGATGTAAAAGTGTAAGCCAAATGAACCCTTTCCTCCTCAACTTGCTTTTTGGTCATGGTGTTTTGCTGCAGCAATAGACACCTTAATTAAGACATCAGCTCTTGAAAATTTGTCAATCCAAAGTTTCAAGAGAAGTTGGTGTCATCGGTTTGGGGGAGTCAGAGCTCTAATATATGGGGACAGGTGTGTTTAACAGAAAATGAAACATACTTCCAGGGACTCACTCTACAGAAAAGTTCTTCCCTATCCCAGTGTTTGGAAACAAGGTACCAAACTGCCTAGAAGAGTAACTTCTAGCCCACTGCATACCCTCAAGGCCTCCCAGACCCCACTGGGCTCCTTCCCATCACATGAACTGACTGATCTGTCATGGTCGTCCATTCACGCAGGAGCTGTGCATTCTGCAAATGCTCCCTGCAGCTCTGACAGCTCAATTACCCTCCTCCTCCCACACTGTGCCCCACCTCTCCTCTGGATTCCCATCCAATTACTTCTTCAAACAAGTCCTTAAGACTTAAAGTTGTCAACTACACACTGAAAACAGATAACAAAGTGCTGGCCTTCAAGAAACCTGGCAGTAGACACCCCCAAAATGTCCTATCCCTTTAACCCAGAAGGTTCAGGAATTTAGCTTCAAGAAGTAATCAAGGAAACACGGAAAGATCTAATTAAATGAATGTCCATTTATAATTATTTTGTGAGGTAACTATGAATTATTTAAAATTTAGCAAGAAGATCCTAGCCAAATGCATCCCCACACATGCAGCCACTACGGAAGAAGCTCCTGAGTAATGGGGGATCTGGGTGATCCCCACTGGACAGACATGCGGAGAGATGAAGGCTGGTTTCTGGGCCCTTGGGGGCTTGTCTCAGAATTTTGGGTCTACCTTCCAAGCCATATCATTTAGAGCAAATCTTCTGACCTCTTGGAGTCTCAGTGGCTAATAACATCTATCTTACAGGACGGCAGGATGATTAAACAGCTTGAATGTGAGTCAAGAGTTTAGGACGGGGTTTGGAACATAGTAAACATGCAGTGAATTAATGACTCCTGCTAAAAGACTGGACAAAAGGAATCCTGGTATGATCTGTACAATTCTGTCCAGATGTATGCATAGACAAGCAAGTTCGCGACTCCCTTTGGTCAGTGAAATCTGATTTTTATACTGGTGTCTGTCTATAATCTCTGGGCTGTGTTTAATCCGTATTTATTGCTTACAGAAACACAAAGCTATGAAGGTTTGCACTGTGAACAAAAAGTAGCACAAAAGCAAAGAAAGGTTTTCTAGGATTCCAGTTCCATTCTGACCATTTCCTTGAGACTACATACCAGAGAACATCTATGAATCTTTTTTTGTTTGTTTGTTTTTTTTTTTTTTTTTTTTTTTTCGAGACAGGGATTCACTGTGTAGCTTTGTGCCTTTCCTGGAACTCACTTGGTAGACCAGGCTGGCCTCGAACTCACAGAGATCCGCCTGGCTCTGCCTCCCGAGTGCTGGGACTAAAGGTGTGAGCCACCACCGCCCGGCTCTATGAATCTTTTTAAGAATTCTATTCATTACGTTAGAGGGCATACAGTGAGCTGCATTGAAGGTCAGAGGACAATCTGTAGGAGTCACTTCTTCCACCATGTGGATCTCGATGATCAAACTCATGTCGGAAGGATTGGCAGCATCTTTAACCTCTGAGCCGTATCGCTAACCCTTACTCTGTTTTAGCCAAGGATGGCCTTGAACTTCTGATCCTCCTGCCTCTACCTCCCGAGTGCTGAGATTATAGGCATGTGTGCCTCTGTGCCTGGTTATGTGCTGTGCTGAGAGCCTCACACAGAGTTCCTTGATTGGGCAGGAAGGCACTCTACCAGCCAAGCATGTTGGTTGATTTAAATTACTGTTAGTCCAATTAGGTTGATGTCATGAAAGGTAAGGTCACAGGCCCAACTCTGCCCATCGCTCTTGCTCCTAATTCTAAGTACCTCAGCCATCTGATCAATTAGTCGATTTTAAAGGGACTGTGTGTGTGTGCCTAAGAACCTGAACAGACAGCACACAGCACTCATATTTTGTGTATATGGTTGTATGAAACCATGTGAGTACACGTGGAGGTCAGAGGTCAATGTCAGGTATCTTCCGCCTTCACCTTATTTTTTGAGACAAGGTCTCACACTCAAGTCAGAGTTCACCAACTGGCTAGACTGGCTACCTAGCAAGTCTCAGATCTTTCTGTTTCCTCCCACTGCTGGGTTCAGGCAGGCACTGCCATGCCTAGCTTTTTCCATGGGTCCTAGGAATCTCAAGTCAGAGGCTCATTCTTGGGCAGCAAGTACTTTATACACTGAGTCTTCCCTCTATCCCTAAACCTTTATGTGCAGTCAATAATCATCAAGACATTAGTTCACATTTGTGGGCAAATCACTTCATAATTTTTTTTCTCATAGCCGTCCTTAGTTTATCCAACTGGAAAACGTCTCTGCTGCGTCCTGTAGTGTTTTGTACGCAGTATACCTCTGCACAGTCATAGCAACCTTCCTATCTCCACCCCTTCCATCGGATGCCAGCTCTCTTCCTCTCCAGCTCTCTCAAGGCCAGTGAAGAACTCTTGTGATTTCCCTCTCGTATTAAACTCAGCAATCGCCCATTACATAATCCTTACAACAATGCGCTACCCACCCAAACTAGGTGAAAACCAGAAACTCGTCCTAAAATTCTTTCCCAAGATGTCCTTGGACCCATGTAAAACTTCCTGACCTAAGCCCCGAGGGCCCAGTTTAGGCTGACACAGCTGGAAACATAGAAACCAAGTTCCCCTTTTCTTCACAGTGTCCTAGGGACTCGGCAAAGTTAGGGCCATTGCCATTTATAAACGATGACCGCCTCGGTGCTTAGCCGGCTGCTGGCTCAAAGCCTATGTGCAAAGGAACCAATGATTACTATTACTTAGCTCTCGTCCTCATGAGCTACAGGAGGCCGAACCATTGACCTCAAAGCTCAGTTTAGAAACAGGGTAATTTTAAGTTAAGCATATGCATTACCAAAAAACTCTTTAGAAAAAGAGGAAGAAGAAGAGGAAGAGGAAATCCTCCAACTTCCACATGTGCTGTGGTGAATACAGTCCCTGGCCCCCAAACAAACTAATTTTCAAAGGGCAAAAGTAAGCCCCTGGCCCCTTACCTTCATGGTTGCTGGAGAAATACCCTCCCCTCATGTAGGACGGCTGGCAGTTAGGCACTTCTGAAAGGGAAGCAGAGATGCACGCATTCTTACAGATGCACGCATTCTTAACCATTCCTGCAGAACATCAGGGGAGAGGCTGGGCAGTGACGCCCCTAAACCTCGCCCTCCAAGGTCATGGCGCTGCTTTGGTTTTTGACAACTTGACACCAATCAGAGGTACTTGGGAAGAGGAACCCGCCACAGAGCAACTGCCTCTATCAGATTGGCCTGTGGGGAGTTTTATTGATTGATTGATACGGGGGGGGGGGGGGGGGGGCTGCCCCACTATGGGAAGTGTGTGTCTGAGGCAGATCGTTGGGGAAGTGTGTAAGGAAGCAAGCTAAACAAGCCATGGGGGGTAAAAATCACGCCGGTAAGCAGTGCTCCTCTGCAGTCTCCGCTGCTGTTCTTGCCTTGGCACCCCTCAATGATGATGACTGCAATCCCTCAGCCAAATCCCCGACCCTCAACCGCAGCTCTGCACCTGCACCACACCAAGGTGCTTTTGATGAGTGTTTTATTACAGCAACTAAGAATTAACCTACGACAAAGGGCCAGTCTTTGGGGCTTTGTTCTGTGGATGGGTACCACGCTAATAAACAATATGGTAAACACTAGACCCCACCACCTGCAAGCAAGACCCTTCTTATCCACAGTCACAGGAGAAAGAAGAGCCCTGCTTCTTCGTCTCGATCTCACTCATTTTAGGAAGCAGTTAACAATGCATCTGGCGAGATGGCTAGCAGTAACACGAGAAACTGGCTTTCAAAAGGGCTTTGGGGTGGAGTGGGGGAAGACGATCGCTTTAGATCTTTCCCAGTCTGCTCCTCTGGCCACTGATGGTCCCATCCAATTCTGTTGCCAGAGATGAGGGTATTTAAGGCCAAAGGGATTAGGGGCACTAAAGCTCTGAAGCCAGGATGAGAACTGGCAGGGTGGGTGCGGTAGTCTGGCAAGCATGTTTTCTCCATGTTGGCTCTGTTCTGCTGAAACTAAACCACACTCTAGCCATCTCCTCTTCAGGTCCCAGGAGAAGAGAGGGAACGGGGTGCGGTGCACACCGGGGCCAGGCTTCTGGTGGGAGCATTTCTGGAGTGCCTTTCTTCAAGGGGATGGGATGACCACAGGTGGTTGAGATAGATTAAAATGTCAATGCTGGGGGGCTGGAGAGACGGCTCGGTGGTTAAGGGCACATACTGTTCTTCCAGAGGACCCGAGTTTCGATTCCCAACACCCACATCAGGCTCACAACCCCCTGTAACTCCAGCTCTAGGAGGATCTGACTCTTCTGGTCTTTGGAGGCACTCATATACACTGACACATACGTATAACTAAACTAAAAATCATATTATTAATTATAAAATAATTCTATATAATAAATAAATTATACATATATATGTATATAAAAGTCAATGCTAACCCTAAAAGTAAAAAAATGTTACCATTATGACTTCTGAGAAAAATATTCCAGTGAAAACTGGTATGGGTCATTAGCAGTTATTTTTCTATCACAATGTGGTAAATTTCTCCCTTGGCCTACCTTTCCAGATTCCCCAAACTAGTTTCTATCCAAATGGTACAATCTATATGTTATCTCAAAACCCAAGAGCAGATTCTACACCCCACCCCACCCACAAGAGCCATTCAGCTTCAGACTGCTCCATCCTTCCAAAGGGGCTTAAGAAAGTCCACAGAGAAAGGAAGAACACCTACCACCCAACCACTCATGGGTCATTGTAGTCCTAACTGTAAGGAAGGACAGGGAGCGTTTCGTGACAACAGGTTCCAGGCCTGCTTTCCTCTGGGGTCTCAAAGGGTCTGACCCACAAGACACAGAGGGAAGAGGTCTACCAGCCTCAACTTCTTCATGGCTGAAGCTGCTCGGCAAACAGCAGGGTCCCCCACAGGTTCCACCTCTGCCTGTGCTGGTTAACAGCCTCTGCAGGACATAAGCACCAGCCCACTGTGGTTGTGAGAGAGGAGAATCTGAACCAGCACTCTGTACATCTGTGGGTATCAGGCACTTCTCAGAACGATTATTTCAGTCACAGAACTATGTCTGGGAGGCGAAATCTTTTCCTTATTATATTGGGTCCTGCTGTACTGAAAACAAAGCCACAAAACTAAAACACCCAAATTGTGTTCCTTGTATCCAAGTGTGGGCCCAGCAATCTTCAGCCTTGACTCAGAGGTGTATTTTATACATTTATGAATACCTTTAACTAATTCATTAAGTTCTTTGAGGGCAGTTTTTTTTTTGTTTGTTTTTGGTAGTGCTGGGCATGGAATCCAGGACATTCTGTTCTATATACTGAGCTACATCCCCAACCCCTGAAGGCAATTCTTATACAATGATTCCCCAAATGATTGCGGACAGCACACTCAACACAGATCAGGCAGATGAATGTGAGAATACAGACGTCAATACAATGGGTTTATGCTAACCTGAGTCCGCGCAGTAATCTCGGGGTTCCTGCTTGATTCCCATTGGTGACTGGAACCCATGTGCTGGGGGACCAGGCATCCCAGGGACCCCATGTTCATAGAGTGGGTCATGGTACTCCTGCTTGAATCCCTGAAGGGGTGGGGGAGCTGCGGGGACAATAGGCTCTGACATCTGTCGGTGGTAGCCAGGGCGGTTATCTCCAGGAACTCCTGACTGAGGAGGGAAGGGGTGGCAGGGTTCGGACAGCTGCCGCTGAAATCTGGAAGAAGGAGAAAGTTGTATTGTTTAATACAAAATGAGTACTTACTATGATTCAGCATGGGAGATTAGCCACAACATCTGGTTTAAAAAGATGAATTAATTTCTAAAACAACAACAAAAATGTTGTTTGTTATTAATGTGTGTGTGTGTGTGTGTGTGTGTGTGTGTGTGTGTGTGTGTGTGTGTGTGTATGTGTGTACTCATGCCATGGACACACATGAAGGTCAGGGGATCGCTCTGTGGAGTCATTTCTCTCCTGCCACCTTTACATAGGTTCCAAAGCTTGAACTCAGGTCATGTCAGGCTTATACAGCAAGTGCCTTTAATAATGGCTGAGCCATCTCACTGGCCCATGAATTAATTTTGAAAAGAACCAATGACTTACATGGTATGGATGCATACCATAAAACTACCATAATTACAATATAAGAAATGAAAAGCTGATTGGTAGATCAAAGGAACTGAATAAGAAAATTTTTTTAATTACCTGTTAAATTGCAAACATATACTTTTATTACCTGTTAAATTAAGCATTTCAAATTTGTAAGGAAGTTTAGGTTTCATTTTATACTACATCCTAAAGTAAATTTCGTATAGACAAAAGATTTCATACTATGAAGTAAATACATGGCTCCAGATCCTCCTGCCTAGCCTTCCCAGTCTTTAGATACGCACCAGGTGAGTATCACCATAGCTTTCAAAAGCACCTGAAGGTCAGCATTTCAGCGTGGTGGTTTGAATGAGAATGACCCCCCACAGGCTCATAGATTTGAATGCTTAGTCACCAAGGGAGTGGCACTACCTGAAGGTTTTAGAGGATTAGGAGGTGTGGCCTTGTTGGAGAAAGGCTCTGAAACTTCCAGAAGAAAAAAAGTAGGGAGTACACTTATAGATGCACACAGCCTTAGATAAGAACTTCCTAAATAAGATTAAAACCATCCAGGAAACAAAACCATCCATCAAACGGGACTGGATGAAACAAGTTTCTGTACTGCAGGAAGCTGTTAATGACTGAAGAGGCCACCTAAATGGGGGTGGGGGGCGGAGGGGAGTGGGGGGCGCCTTTTGCTGGGTTACATCTGACAGAGGATTAGTATCTAGAATATACAAAGAACTAAAAACTAAACTAAAACTAAACACCAAGAAAACAAATGACCCCGTTAAAACATGGGCTAGAAGAAACATGTGGCTAAGGAAGATTTTTTTAGATGCTGGCCACCCTCAGCCATCAGGGGAATGCAAACCACACTGAACTAAACTACTTAGCGATTCCATCTCAACTCCAGTCAGAATCGCTAAGAGTTAGAAAACAAAAGACATGGTTCTTGTGAATAGATTTAACCAAACAACTGGGCTTAGATTTTAATCAATCTGTGTCAACAGGTGGCTAACAGATTTCTACGGCGGCATCAGAACTTAAACCCCTTCACCTTAGAGATCTGGGTACAGATAACACCGTGAGATCAGCGCACAGCACGCACTGCTCCTGGGGGAGTTTTTACCATCCGCCCGCCCCCCGCGCCAGAAGCACCATAAAAATTATAACATCATCTCTGAGCAACTTTACACATGCACATTCTCTTGTCCCAGACACAAAAGCACTCTCATTTGCCAGGCCCAACACACCCCACCACTGTGAAGTTCAGTACAGGAAGGTGCACAATTTCACCAGCAGACACCTGAGCTTTAAGGAAACCTTTCAGGGGTCTCCAAACAAGCACACATTTGCAACTCAGGCTTGGGCTTGACATTTCAAATACAGGCATCAGCCAGGGGCTCAAAACCTGAATGGGAGCCTTTCAGAAAAGCAGGAGGACGTTGTAGAGGCTTTACTCTTATTAGCTACCCAAACCCCTTGGGTTACTTGGAAGAAACAGCAGCAAGGACAGCCCCTCTGCCACCATGGTAGCACCTTCAGAGGTGACCCCCACAAGTCAGTTCCTTTGATGGCTCCAAGATGGCCTGCACCACTCAGTTCTGTAACCGGAGCCTCGGCAGCTGGCGGGACCGATGGTCCTGCTTCCGCTTGGTTCTCATCTCCTCACCTTCCAGATTGTAACTCTAGAGTCGGCCTGGGATGGCCTCCTTAGGAAAAGATGCTTCCATGAGCCCTAGCCAGCAACTATTCCCTCCCCACCCCCCAGCCGAGTCCTAGGATCCATGAAGCCAAGGCCTGGATAGATCTCAAAGATCAGGTCAGAGGTTTTCATCAGCATTGCTCAGCATTGCATGTTTCAAGAATGGGGGTGGTGGTGGTGGGTGGTGGTGGAAAAGGATTCCTGGGGGAGGTCACGAGACCAACATACCCCCAAAAAAGGAATGGTTCAGAGCTGGCCGCTGTAATTGCTATTTGCAGAGATTAATAAAGTAATTCAGTTCTCATCCTCAAAATATATCCTGTGAACTTTACTCACTGGCCTCCATCTGAAACTCATCCCCCTCTCAGAGGTGATCTTTCTGAAGCATCTAAGAACGTGTTGTCCACATAAAACAGCCACGACCAAGATGCTGTTGGGATCGGCCCCAAAGGAGCGGCAGCCCGATCGGACCAGTCTCTCTTCCTCCCACCCCACCCGTGACCACAATGCGGCTCACGGGTGACGAACTCACATTCGGTGAGCAAAGGGAGGCAGACTACCGAGCAAGGCTTCTGAGTGCCAGTTTATTTAAAGGACAAATTATTTATTTATTTGTCAGATTTATATAGCGCCTTTCCTCTCAAGAGCACGCCCACACCACCAACATTTGGTTTACGTTATGAAAACTGTTAGATTCTTTTTCTGCATTTCCTTTTTGGTCTCAGCTCCCGACACACAGAGTAAACATAATGGTAACAGAAATAAAAGGGAAAAAGTGCAGAATCAAGGCAGGGCACTCAGCGTCTAGGCTTGGCCGGTGAAACAATGATAGTTCAGGGTCATCTCCGCGATGATAGGTAAGATTGCACAGGAACAACAGCACACACTTAAATCTCACTGTTAACAGCTGAGAGAACATGATGGAAAACAGAGAAACAGCAGAGGCAACTGTGAGCCTGGCTGTGAGGTCAGAACAAGCTGAGCTGAAAGCCGGTCTCTACCACTGGCTCCCCTCGTGACGTTAGGCAAGTTATGCAACAGCTCTGAGCCTTCATTTCACATCAGCAGAATAAGGCCGACCAGGACACCTGCCCCAAAGGTCTGCTTAAAGATTACATAAGATAATGCATGTAACTGGACGGAGCACGGCAAGTTCTCCATACACAAGACCTTCAGTCTCCCAGCTAGACTCACAAGCTACACAAAGACCTCACAGCGTCAGGTAATAGCCATACACGCCTATCCAAGAAAGGCCCACAAGTTGTCCACGATATCCAGTCCCCTTTTGAGACAGAATGTTGGGTTTTATTCTTGAGTGACTCACTTATGCCTACCTGGGAAGAAAAGTGAGGCAGACTCGGCATGCTGCAAGGGCATCAGCCGGGACAGTATCCACACACAAGTGTAACTCCGATGGCCAGACACATCGTAAAAACTGTAAAAACACAGCAACTGAAGTCTCTACATTTGTGGTAGCCACATTTTAGAAAAGAATCCTTTTGTAAAAAGTATGTTTATAGAAATAAGTTATATTTTTAAAAATTATCTATTATTATGTGGGTGTGTACGATGGGGTGGGGTCGTGGGAGCAGAGGTCAGAGGGTAAATTTCAGGACCTACAGGATCTCCCCCTTTCACCTGGGTTCCAGGGATCCAAGCTCAGGTTGTCAGGCTGTGTGGCACAGATTTGCCTGTTGTGACATCTCACTGGCGCAAAAGTGATGTCTAAAAGGTACAATGTAGAGCCAGTGAGATGGCTCAGCGGTAAAGACATCTCCCAAGCCTGACCATCTGAGTGTGCTCCCTAGGACCCACACAGTGGAAGGAGAGGTCTGACTCTGTTGGCTTTGGGGCTCCACAACTAGTTCCCATCCCCACAAACTAAATTTGAAAAGTGTGTGTGTGGGAGGAAAGGTAAGTAAAAAAAAAGCCAGGCATGGTGATTGATACAGCCTGTGGAATGGCAGGACGTGGGAAGCACTGCCAGACTCACCCCCAAGTATCCGAATTGGGGTTCAACTCCAAGCCCCCCAGTCTATATAACTCCAGGGCTACAGGTCTACAGTTTTTGTTCTTTGAAGATATATTTTAATATTTTTTATGTGTGTGTGTGTGTGTGTCCTTGAAGGCCGTAAGAGGGCATCAGATCTCCCAGAGCCGGAGTTGCAGGCAACTGTAAGCTGATGTTGGAGGCTGGGGACCTGTGCTCTTAGCTGCCTCTCCTGCCTCACCTAAGCTGTTCCTACAACCGCTTTCCACACTGTATTAGTGACATTTAATACAAACCACACTTGGACGTGCACCAGAAAAAACCATTTTTAGAAACTAAGAAAAAAAATTTTTTTTTAATTTAAGACTGAAAACTATGATAGCAAACACTTCAAATGACAAAAACACCACAAATCTAACTTAGGCAATATATCTAAAGGAGGGCTTGTGTAAAAAAATTAGGACTAAGGTAGCTGTCTGTCTACATGGGGGCCCATTTACAGAAAGCAGAACCAGACAGTCCAGAAAGAGTGAAACTAAGTAAGAGAGACAACACTTGACTTGTGAGGCTAGATGTTTTCCCTGAGAGGTCGGCAAGACTTCAAAAATTCCAAATAAAAAAGATAATGACAGATAAGCCCCATTTTTTTTTTTTGAGCCGAGGATCGAACCCAGGGCCTTGTGCTTGCTAAGCAAGCACTCTACCACTGAGCTAAATCCCCAACCCTGATAACCCCATTTTAAAAAGATATTATGGACCACTCTGTGCCAATTAATTTTAAAACACATAAATGGGCAAATTATCTTAAAATTTTTCATTAGATTAAACTAAAAAGAAATTTAAAGCAAAACTCTAAAAGGTAAGAAAAATTTTAAGTATTTCCCACAAGAATGTCTAGAGTAACTTTACCAGTAAACTCTTCAAACAACT